GAACGAGAGAGAAACAAAGAGAGAGAGAGAGAGAGAGAGAGAGAGAGAGAGACCGTGTAAGCGGGAGGGGGAGACCCAGCGACCAAAGGGAAGATGGAAGATGAAAGAGTCTGAGGAGTGCAGGCGCCATGTTGCTGGCGATGACAAGAAACCCGATGCGACGGTAGCAGGGGCCAACAGTACAGGCAGAGGCGCTTGCTCGAACGCCTTGATTGGCCGATTACAGATTATGCACGCTGCACCCTGGAGAGATCCATCGGCCGAGGGCTTCCATGCTAGTGGCGGAGAGCTTCGCCAAGCGCAGAAATAACCGTCGGCGGCGTGTTGCGAGATACCTCGCGCACTGGGAGTCTGCGTCTATCGTGGAACAACTGCCCCGTGCTGGGAAACCAACGAAGAAACGTAAACGTTGTTTAAGGTAGTTGTTCCGAGATAGTGACGTTCAACGGTATAAATGGAAACTTTTGTACAAGTACAGTTTTACTGTTCTCACACGCGACCATGATACATCAATACGCATAACTACGAATACATTCGTAATACTCGAGAAATGATTGTGGCAACAACGCTGACTCCGTGCAACTTCTCTACGTCCAGTTATAGGTATTAATAAATCATATCTCGGTAACGGCACGGTCTTGTGACTTTTTTTTTTTTTTTTTTTTTTTTTTAGTTTATGTATTCAATTTTTATAATACATCAAATTTTCAGCAACCTCTTATAAAGTGTACTTTGGTTTAAATTGAAAAATTCACATGAAAATCTGTATGTTCCATAAGGGTCTGTGGTGAATTACAAAATTTTGATATTGTTTTTCATAAAATTGCGGTGGTTTATTTAAATCGAAATAGACTCGTATGATTTATATTCAATCAGAGTACAATCGAGTGGAAGTTTTGTTAAAATCCTCTATGAAATATATCCACGGACCAAGTATCTCAAGGATCTATAGGACGTACAACCGAAGACAAATGTATATGACATTGTAATTAATCGAATATCTTTGTAATTACGAAATTAAAATGAACAAATATATAGGTATAAGCTTGTTTTTAATGTCGAGTTCTAATTTACCACGAATTTCTTTGTTTTTTGCGGAGTGGAACACACAGGGACGAAGAGAAAGGGGTAGAGGGGTAGAGATGTGACAGGGAAGAAGATAGAGGGAATTAAATTAATAATAATAATTTCTACATCTTATATCAACCTAGGCGATTGATATAATCTGAAGAAACAACGTAACTTGAATGTACAATCCAGAAGTAAATCCTACGAGCGTTCACGAACAGAACAGATCTTATCACCCCATATATTAGAGAGTACCACTCGAGTAAATGCCAATTTAATGTAAATATATTATACTAGCAACGTGGCAATGCGATTGATAACCCGAGAAAGCAAAGTAACCAGGATAGATAGTCCAGTAGTCTCCAAGAATCCGGTCGTGAGAATCCTGTGGCGCCCCCCTAGGGTTAACGAGCGTTCACGAACAGAGCGTGCGGATCTATCACGATTTTATTGGATGCTCTTTTCAAAATCAACGAGAAAAAGGCTCGTTCCGTGGTTATTTTGCAAACAACCTGACCCATGACGCGACCAGCCATCAACTTGCGTCGCGGCTCGATTCTCTCAATGGGGAGAGGGGAACCGACTCCCGCGGTGCTCTGGCTAATGAAATTATCCGGTCCGGGACCCCCTGCGACGACATCAACAACCCACGACAGCCAGTTATCCCGTGATTACGCGATACTCGGTTACGTACCACGGCGTGCGTACCTATGAGAAAGCCTTTTAGCCTTTTGACGTCTTCGGGGTCGAGGGGTCGTTTCTGGGGAGATTAATCTTACTCGCAGCCGATGGCATTACTGTCGCCATTTACTGCATCCGACTCGAGTAATCAAACCTACGTATCATACTAGGTGGTTCTAAAAATTGAGGCAAAATGTACAGTGCAGATCTAATGTACTGATTCGTAGACAAAAGTAAACAGATAAGGAAAATGTATAAAAACTAACAAAATAATTCAGATTTTTAAAGATCCACACAGTCAGTCCCATAACTATATGTACCATCTATCTCTATTGAATATATTTGTCTAAATTAAATGGCAAGCTTAATTATTTTCCTATATAAGTATATACCTATAATGACAAATTGATATATTCGTAGAGGATACGAATACTTATGGGACTTGATTGTGTATTTGGACCAACATCTATCAATAAGAACACTCGTATAAAAGAGAGTCACTAATAACCAAAGGTTAATGCGACGTTAAATATGAAAGGAAAAAAAAATTGGCAATTTGTTTCAATATTTAAAGATTCGTACAGTCTTTGATCGCTACTTCGAAATCCTACTTCCCCCTCTCCACGACTCTTGAATCACCAAATACGCAAACTCACACCAATCGAATCGAATAAGGCTCCGTTCCAGATTTCGCGTCCCGTCAGCATGGAATAATTGAATAAGACGGCGGAACGTGTAATTGCCACCGTTGGGCGATCGTAATCCCAAGCCACTCGATAAATCGTCAACCCGCGAGCCCGGAATGAAGATTCGCGGGCCCGTGGAGTCTCGCTCCAATTAGCCCCGAGGCACGATTACAGTCTAATAAATCGTTAATTGGAAACCGTGGGACTATCGCGAGATATTCATGGCTTCTGGACGACCAGCGCCCAATTAGCTTTTGACCGCGGTACCCCCGCTCGGTCTAATAAATCGTTAATTGGAAACCAAGCGCGTGGTAATTAGCGGAAAGTCTTCCGACGATCGCGCGATCCCATCGCCACGGAGGAAAGCTGAAAAAGTCCGCGACCGTCCGCGGGAATAGGATTTACGGGCGTCTCGTTACTACGCGATGCTTTCCTCCACCCTTTGGTGCCGCTGGACGGCAACCCTATCCCCAGTGTCCAGGGCGTGGCGGATCGGTGATTTAGTAAAGTCATTTGTGCCGATAATGCTGACAGATGCCGTCCATCGAGGCTCCTGTTACACTGGACTGTCCGTGCAACAGGATCTTCTCGTGGTTCACCGAGCTGGGGGTGAACGCGAGACGCGCTGGTACCGTATCCCGAAAACCTCGCCAAAACAACAGTTTACGACATTCGAAACCCCATACTTCTATTTTGACGATGGAATATTATAGCGTAATGCGGTATGGTCGTTTTATTTTGATCTAGGAGTGGTATAATGGGATACTGCAATCCCCACGATCATTTATTTTTACCTATTCCTGAGGTATGGTAGCTTTCATTTATTTATAGTTTCTGGCAATCTCCTAGTAATACTATATAGGAATATGAATTATATTATACGTTAAATTGGCAATCAGTGATTGGAATACTATAATGAATCACTGCATGACCTGGTAATTTTTATTTCAACTATCTATAAGAAATGGTAGGCATATAGGTAATTATTTCTTCTGGTAATCGTGATGCTTGGATAGATCTACTAGCAGGTATGACCGCGTTTCAACAAATTCCTATAATTCTATTTTAATCTGAACTATTATAGCGGGACACTGCACTTCCCACTCATATTGGTTCTAGTCATTTCTAAGGAAGGTTCTACTCAGTAGCAGGTTTGAACTTGTTTAAACAAAATTCCATAGTACTATTTCAACAGTGTAATACTATAGTAGAATACCACATGACAAATTTATTTTAACCCTCTCATTTATTTTAGTTATTTTTAAAAGATGCTAGCACTTCGTACTCTATAGTAATTTGCGATCTCATACCAAAATCCTCCGCATAAACAAATCTGAACTTTTATTCTAATAAAATTCCATAATTTTATAGTGGACCAATACACTGCCTACTCGATAATATTTTATCTCTGTCTAAAAACCTCTGCCAGTCTTGTGTTTTGGAATGGCCTATTAGAATGGGCTATTAACAAGTTTGAACATGTTTGAATAAATACTACCATAATTTTATTTTAACCTGAAATGCTATGGTGCAGCACTGCATTTACTTCAATTTCCACGTACTCATAAAAATTTAAATTACCGCGTGGTCGTGTTTGGTACACTCTGCGATGTGTTCGGTCTCTGCTAATCTTAGGTGTACCAACAGTGCGTCTCGCCAATGATTTCTTAACGATACCCCCTTTAACGTAAATCATATCAAATTTTCATCGCGGACAACGCCTAATTACCGCGATAACAGCGCGAATACAATAAATTCTAGGGATAAGAAGTCACGGAACGACATGGCGCGCGTTGATTCGCGTGACGAGTCCGATATATACAAGGTGTCCAGTCAGACACTCGACAAACTTCTTTTACGTGTCGTATTAAAGGAAATATATGTAATGCTCATTTTTAAATTAATTCAAACTTCTCGCATCTTTGGCTGTTTTGAAAATTGTGTATACCAGTATCGACCATATAAACTTGACTTATAGGGATTTTTTGTAAATAATTTTGTACCCGTCGAACCTATATACGTTATTCTTTTCTAAAAATTTTGTGATCCTTGAAAAATATTCTTAAAAAGATAAAAGGAAATTTGTCTCACGTATTGCAAATATAAAACCGTACTTTTCGTTGGACCAAGCCTGTAATCGAGATAAAAAATTTTGTTTTATCATCTACATACTATCACTTATTCAGTCCACCTTTGGAAAAAAATATTGCTCCAAAATAACACAACTTCGTAGAACCACATACAGTCAGTCCCATAAGTATATTATAAATATGTACATATTTCTAATGAAAAATTCGTTTGGAAACAACACACCTGTCATTTAATTTAGACAAATTATCAATGGACATAAAGGGTGCGAATACTTATGGGACTGACCGTATGCGACATCTTCAGCTCAAAATTACCTGGCGAACACATGGTTGATGAGTTAATTGGCCACCCTGTATATCGGAGAGTTGCGCGCATGAATTTCGTTGGTTGCACGTGAGAAGATCGTTCGAGGGGTTGGGCAGTTCCTCGCGCGAATCGATCACGGGAAAGAAGGGAAAAGAAAAGGAGACTGACCTGCGTTTGCGTGAGTCCCAGGCTCGCGGCGAGCTCGGCTCGCTCTGGCAGAGCCAAGTACTGCGTCCTCTGGAACCGCCTGTTGAGCTGTTGCAGCTGCAGGCTGCTGTAGATCGTTCGCGGTTTCCTCATCTTCTTGCCCTTGCCGTTCCTCAGGGAACCGCCGCCGCCGCCGCCGAGTTCGTCAACGAGGCTGCCGCCCTTGTCGCCCAGCGGCGAGAGGTCTGCGAACATGCACCACCCTAACATCAACTTTCAGAATCCTCGTCACCGGTGGCGTACGAACTAAAGAGAAATACAAATGAAACCTGACCACCGGCGTGAACGCGAACCGAGAAACGAATGGCAAACGTCCTTGCTTAATTTGATAGGGATACGCGTTAATATTCAAAGAGGCATTGTTGTTCATTTGCTCAGAATCTAATTGAAAGATTTTAAGATGAGAATTTTGAGTTTAATATGAAGCTTCTTTGAGACACAATTCCTGAGAGCCAGCAAGCTTAGAATATAATTGATCATAAAATAAATAAGTATAAATTAGTCATAAAACACAATTAACCCTTTGCACTCGAGAGGTGACTCTCAGCCACCATTACGTTTCACGCATCAAATCTACGATACCTAATGTTTCTTTAGCTTAATATAAAGTTTCCTTGAAATCCATTCAACCGTTCCCACGTAATTTCTCCTGAAAGACCAATGTGTATACTTGTAAAAAAGTCAAATTTTTCTTTCAACTGTCACCATTACTTTCTTATAAAGGTTAAATGAATTAACCAAAGCAAGTAGTTGCTCAGTTTTAATGTTAAAGCACATTCTCGTAACATTAGCTAAAAGATACACATGTCTAGAGACCAAAGCGCAAAGGCAACCAAAGACGCATGTATAGCTTGCCCGAACGAGAGTGAGGCCTGAAGGTGGACGCGCTTGAGGAGCTAAGTGGGGACAGACACTTTCTTTACGACCTAGGATGGGCAATTGAGGTCTTCTGCGAGCTGGGACGCTTCTTTTATGTTATGGGTCACGGTGAGTTACACTTGCCGACCAATTGATATTACGATGAGACACGAAGGAGAGGAGCGACTTCAGGAGTGGTCCTAAGGCCCAGAGTGACAAATGGAGGGAGAATTCGTACTCGATCGGGTTGGAACCTCACTCTCGCTAGAGAAAGCTACATATTTGCCTGGTTGATCTGTACGCGGCTCGAGATAAGGTTCTCTGAGGTCACTCATCGTGCACTGACTATGATTTTCGGGATGCACTCGGTTTAAAGTGTAATAATGGAGGCTTGAATTAATCCTAAATAGAAATTCTAATGAAAAATGGCTTAAATTCAAATGCATCCATTTGATACAAGCCTAAATCAATAAAAGAAACATTGAATATTATTGGTTATTTTACAAATCTGCTGAGTTTTATTAAAATTTGCGATAAACTCTTAAGAACAGTCTTGAAGAATGGGAATGAATGGGAATTGTCATGAGATGCCGACAACTCAGTTTTGTTTTCGTTTATTTAATACAATTAGAACCTCTCTATAGAAATTATATTCCTATCAACAATTCACTCTCTTGCGATGTCTGTATCATCAAGTGGTGCTAAAGGAAATAACTCTAAGTGGAGCCCTTGATTCAACACATAATAATAACGGTCTCAATTAGTCCTAAAAAGGAAAATATAAGATACAACGACTTAATTAGCGCGATTTTCGTAACTCTCCCCTATTCGAGTTTACCTCTAACTGTGCGTAATAAGAACGTACGCGAAAAGAAACTAATGATACGACTGTTCCAACGATAATTGCAAAGTATAGGATAGTAATGCGTAGGGTTGTTGTAATTACGACTTGTCCCACGTCACGGTCACGTAGGATAGTGGCACGATTATCGTACCGTAAGTCGTTACGTCTGCGGTCACTATTAGTTGCGTGTCGGTTGGATAAGACGGCGCTTCGACCAATAAGTAACACTTTTAGTAGAACTTGTCCACTCGTAGGCGTTGCTAATTGTAAGCCGATGTTGAAAGTTCTGACGAATAGGATGCGCGTTTTCTTCGGAACTGAACATCTGACCCGTATGCCATGGAACGGAGATAGGGGAGATCATCGAGCACTCTCGATCCCGTATATCAAAAATTCTTCAATTGTTATTAAGAGAAGAATTTTCATGTACATTTTACATATTACATACACTCATGTGATTAAATTATTACACTTGCCTTTTAAGACATTCCTTTGGTAATTGTAAAACATAGCTTTATATCTTTTTTATAAATTTGATAAATGAATTTAAGTAACTGGCTAAAGTACAATATACATATATGTACGATTCTTTTTTTTTCACCATTTTTCAGAAGGAAAGTCGTGATTGGAAGAAGAGATACAAAAATTCACAACCCAAAAGACCAACGAAATCATACACTCGCATCGTACAAGATAAAACTATAGACAAGTCTATGTAAAATATCTAATAACATAACAAATACTACCCTCGCTTAAACAAATTCTTCAAAATAAAATGCACACGTGTTTTAGACAATAATTAACCAAACACCCATATAATTCCGAGAGGAATTACACCACAGTCGTATATATTAATCGTAATGAGTGTTCCGCGAGCACTAACTATGTTGTACAACAAGGTCCATCCCGTTTAGATGCGAATAAATAAATAAATGATTATATTTAACCAGAGAGAAGAGGAGAGGTCCAATACGGGACCGACGAAGCATCGAACTCACCCGCCTAAAGGACCGAGCGGATTCCCCGCGTTGATAAATCATCGTTGATCCCGCGTAACTCGCCGACCGATTGCTATCGTCGCGAACAATATCGCGCCGCTAACCACGGAGTAATTAATTAAAGTAGAGGAGAGAGGAGAAATTGTTATAAATTAATGTTAAAATAATTACGCGCTGACTGAGTAAACGTATCGTGCCCGGCCGGCGACGCTATCGTCGGCGCGATCGCGGCCATTATGTTTATACCCTAATTACAATGTGCCCGTAATGCGGCGCGGTGTGAATCCTCGAACGTAACACAGTCATTTAGAAATCCAAACAAACCGCTCTGTCATTCCACCGACTAGCGGGGGCTCGTTTGTTATTTTCGAACAAACGCGACAACGTACGCCATAAATCTTGGTTTGATGAAAGGAGGGGGAGGGACGGGTCAGAGGAGCAAGGACACGTGTCAAAGGATGACAAAATTCAATTAATTATGTGTGTGCTTTGGTTATTACTCGTGAAGTTATAGCGTTTCTAATGAATAGCTGCATGGAACTGTTTCTTGTTATATTCTCGTATTAATAATCAATAGAAAGGCTCGATTCACGTCTTGTACCTCAAAACTTGGATTTTTCTTTACAAGAAAAGTAGAAAATTGAGTAAAGACTCAGATCAGTGTTCACACAAATAAATTTCAATCAGCTTTTTTAAATATCTCCATCTTTTCGAAACTTCCTCCATAAAGAGGATATGTCAAGAGGAACAAGGCCATACTCTCATTTTTCCCTAAATTTTACGTGTCCCTCGTATAAAAACAAGACACTTCTTCAAAATGATTTAAAAACAATTTTCAAAATTGTTCACCTTGACGTTGATTTTTCACATCCAAATATCACAAACGATTTCAACATATCTAAATTTGATAAAAATCTACGTTGTTACTCCCATTCGACGTCCAATTTCAAGTGGGACAACTCCAAAGGTAAACGAACTAATATTCTGTTGTTGCTTTGGGCGCCAAAGCTCCTAGATAGAGCCTAACGTGTGGGTGGGATGCGCAAATGAGATGTCGACGACGAAACTCGGAATTATCCGCGTAACGTAACACTGGGACTGCGCCTCCGTCGAACCATCCCCGCTGCGCGATAATAAACGTAACTATTAATTAATGTAATTTATGGCGAGCAACCGGACATGCACAGGCGCATACGCTGTATGATTCTCGTGATTTATTGCTACCCGTGTCACCGACGCTCGAGGGGCGTGGAGCCTCAACCCGAGGATCAACGAGTCGCAAGATCGATCGCGAACCGACACCGTAGATTTTCATTAACGAGCGCAAAAATGGACGAGAACCTCGCCGACTTCCTATGGTAGCACCGCGACACGCTCGTTGCGCGTTAGTCCTACTTTCGTCGAGACGCTATGGCCAGAAATAGGCAAATTTCTTATTTCGATATAATTTTCGAGCGACTGGCAATAGATAATCTTTCTACTCGTTATTCGTTCAATAGAAATTCAAGTGGGTACGAAGAGTGAAGGTTTTAAAAAATTAATTAAAAATGAGTCAAGTAAATAAAGATAGTTTTTTTTATAGAATGAAAAAAAACAGTGTTTATGATGATTCTCTGTTAATTATTGGGAAAATTACTTACGTATTTTATTGTATATTATATTAGTTTGTCTGGAAAGTCCATGACGATTTTTGGTAGGTGGTACACGCCTGCTTATATTGGAATGGTTGAAAACATTTAACATGGGTGTATCCCTTAAAAGGTGAAAAGGTTTTGGAACAAAATGGTACTTATATAATTCAATAAATATGTATCAAAATTCAAACTTGCCTTTGAATTTTTCTTAAAAATTAGCACGAACTTTCTGGACAACCCAATACTGCTAGGGTGTATTATATACAGGGTGGTTCCTACTTTTCCGGCAAGATTGTGATAACCCGTGTAAATTACGGTGAACCGTCAAGTTCAGGTGATCGGTCAGACTTCAACGACTGCTTTGCATATTGTCGCTTTCTCCTTCGACTATATCATCTCGCCAGTTACAAACGGTGGCAAGGAAAATTGTATATTGTTAAACGCGCCACCTTCCATCGCGGGGAACGCAACTCGAGGGTTTACGGACTTCTGTCGGCCGTCGTTGCATCACACGCTGTGATTAGGTGCGTTTGTAATCAATGCCAACGTGGCCGTAAATCCATTGTATCGAGCTGGAGGGCAATTCGCGTCAATCTAACGCGACGTATTTCTCTTCGCCGTTTATATGGATTCGTCTGGGATTTACGGGCGTAATGTCAACGCGTTCGTTCTGGAAACGCGGCTAAGGAAAGACAAATTACCGCTGAGAATTTTCTCGCTTCACGATCTCACGAGGAGGTGTCGATAAGGTGAAATTGAGATTGATTGCGAAATTAAAATTGAGACGAAGATTGAGTTTGTGTCACAGAAAAGTAGTGAATATATAGAAACTATTATTTAAGATAGATATTGCACATCTGTTAATAATT